AGTATGCAACCAGTGTTAGCTAAAAACCAGCTACTGTCAAATCGATTCCAATTCATGGGGACCCTATATGTGAAGAGTAGAAGTGCTTCACAGGGATTTACTTCAAGGCGATGATCTTTTGGAAGCAGATCGTCAGGTCTTTTCTTCCGAGGTGCCGCTGGGTGGGTTTGAGCCACCATCCTTTCAGTTAGTAGTAGAGTGCTTAGCCATTGGCACCATCCAGGACAGTAATAATTCTTTAGGAACAGACACATCATTAAGAATCTCAAATATTTGAATCTTAACTCAAATTTCATGTTAATGACTGATCTGCTATATAGTTAAAAACATCAGTAATCTTTCTTCCACTAGTTAATTTTTATGTTAATTTTTAAAAGAATATTGTTTTATAAGTGCTGTCGATTTGGTTCCTGAAGAGTGGTTGATGGGTTTAAACCGCTGACCTTGTGGTAAGCAGTCCAATGCTTATCCTTCAAAAGAATATTACTACTTTAAAATTTTAAAGGCAAAAGGCAAAACACAGAAACACTGGGGTGGCTAAATTAAGGAACTGCCAACTCTAATACACTAGTAAATACATATAGTACCTATTTTAGGAATTCCTGGGTAGTGGAAATGCAATCCCTTGTCAACAGAAGATTGGAAGTTTGAGTCTCTCTCGAGGCGTATGGGAGGAAAGGCCTGATGCTCTACTTGTTAAAACTCAGCCACTGAAACCCCATAGGGCACAGTTTTATCATGACATACAATAGCCAGGGTCAAGTGGACAGCAACTTTATCTTTGAACACATAATTCAGTATGCTAAAATTATACAGAATTTTTTTATATTATAATTTAATATCATGCTTTTCAAACTGTGGTGGTATTGTTGCTAAGTGGCATCAAGTCAGTCCCAGTTCACAGTGACCATCACTGTATAGGATTTCCAAGGAGCTGCTGATAAATTTGAACTGCTGACCTTGCAGTGAAAAGTCCATTGCTTACTCTACAGCGCCACACCAGGAGCCTTGTTGCTGCTGGTAGTAAGCACAGTCAAGTCAGTTCTGACTTAAAGTAGGCCTGTATGGGGTTTCCAAGGAACAGGTGGTGGGTTTGAACTACCAACCTTGTGGTTTGCAATCGAGTGCTGATCTTACGGAGCCACACAAAGTGCCAAATTCTTAGAAACCAGCCACTTGAACTACTTAGCTCCCCCTAGGGGAAATACCAGGAATATCTTGAGAAACAAGTTCAGTTTAGCACCAGGAAAAAGGAAACAATAAATGAAGGAGCAAAGGGACCACAATGTGAACTGGCCAGATATTTCTGTTATGCAATAAAGGATCTGTGTAGTGGTTATGAATCAGGCTGCTAACCTCATAGTCAGTAGTTTGAAGCTACCAGCTGTTCCGCAGGAGAAAGATGAAGCTTTCTGCTCTTGTAAAGATTTACAGCCTTGGCAACCCTTTGCAGGGTCGCTTATGAGTCAGAACCGACTCCATGGCACATAACAACAACAACAAAACAAAATGCAATTTTCTTTGCTGCGCTAGCTGTACTAAGTAGATTAGATGGTTAAAAAGGATAAACTAGAAAGAAATCCTATGTAGAAACAAAGGTGCCGGATTAAAAAAGAAATGCTAAGTGGAGCAGCACTAGAAATTTCACCTTCTGATGGAAGCTTCAAATTTCCAATTTAAGAAAGAACGCTTTTACAGTCATATTTTTCTCAGAATTCATAATTATTTTGGAAAGGTATCTCATATGTACCTTATAATGGTTACTTAATTAAAAAAAAAAAACCAACTATTAAAAACAACATGGTGTAGTTAAAAAAAAAAAGAGCAGGCTGGCTTTTCAAGTTTCAGGTCTAGGTTTCACTACTTAGTTGATTTAAACAAGTTACTTAAGTGGGGCAGTTTTAATTCTCACTGTGCAACTGTCATACAAGTTACATGTAGTTCAATTCGTATTCCCATCTAAAGCGGGACTCAGTTCCATAACATCACCAGTTTAAAATGCTTCCTGCAGAAGAACCAGACACAAGAAAACACCTCCTGAGACAGTCCTTTTAGTCCTCAGACTTCTAGCAGGTTTTTGACTCCTGGTGTGGTGCAGTAGGATCAGCACTTGACTGTGAACCACAAGGTGCAGCTGCTCCTCAGAAACCCTATACAGGGTCGCTGTGAGTTGGAACCAACTCCAAGGCCCTTAACAATAAGCTTCCTAGTAACTTCAACCTCATCAATCACGCTCTAATTTACAAGGCACAGCTCATTCACTCTCACTAGACTAAGGCCCATGAGAGTTGAGGCAGTCTATTTCTTCAACACTGAAGACCCAGCATCTAGAAAATCCCTTGGCACATAATAAGTGTTCAATAACGATCTGCAACTTGAGTGATGGGTTCTATGCAGTATTTACTGACTGACCACCGAGATTCTCTCACAAATGCGTACATTTCCAGAGGTAATCAGTGAATGCTTATGGTTACAAGTCACACTCTTGCTATGATTATTTTTTTTTAATCTCTTGGGATACAGTCAATAAAAAGCAATTTGACCATAGAATGGTCTTCAATGATACAGATAATATAAGTTCCTACAAATAAACTTCTTGATGGCTTCACAACTCTTAAATTCATAATTTCTTTCATATTTAACAAAACTCTTAAAATTAAAATGATCTTACTATAATAGTGAATCTCAAAATTACATGCAACCTTATTGCTGTTAAGTGCTGTCGAGTTGGTTCTGACTCACAACCACCCTGTATAGGGTTTCCAAAGACCAGCTGGTTCACACTGACTTTGCAGTCCAGAGCATTAATCTGCAGCGCCACCTAAGTATCACTGGCTATTTGCAATTAACATTCATAATGATAATAATGCAGTCAAAGGTTATTGAAAGGTACCCAGGAAACATCAGAATAAAAGCTGTGATAAATAAAAGTTGTGATCACAACAGCTAACAACTTGTTTTTCAAAACTCTCTTAGCAACACACTCCTATAAACAAACATCCTACTGCTTAAACAATAGGAGTCATTTATAATTTACTCACTTCTGGAGTTCTGGTGTGGCACTGCGGGTTAATGCACTGAACCGCAAGGAAATGGTTCAAGCTCACTAGTAGCTCCTTGGAAACCCTATACAAGGTCACGATTTGTCAGAACCGACTCAATGGCACTTAACAACAGTATTTCATAGTTTACAGAGTAGGTTGCATAAAGTATGCTCTGGTGTGGCGCTATGGGTTAATGCACTGGACTGCAAAGTCAGTTTGAACCATAAGGTGGGTGGTTCAAGCTCACCAACTGTTCTTTGGAAACCCTATACAGATTGGCTATGGGTCTGAACCAACTCCACAGCACTTAACAACAACTCCACAGAACAGGAAATTAAACAAATTAAACACAGTTAGCCAGCCTACCAATCTCATATGAAAACATGTCCATTAGTAAACTTCGCTTGTCACTCAACAGTTGTAAGCTGTTGCTTCCTGCTACTGTTGTTGTTATGTGCCATGGAGTCGATTCCGACTCATAGTGACCCTGCACAGGGTTTCTGAGGCTGTAAACTTTTACAGGAACAGAAAGCCTGATCTTTCTCCCAAGGAACAGCTGGTAGTTTTGAACTGCCGACCTTGAAGTTCGCAGCCAGATTGGTAATCACTACACTACCAGAGCTCCTTCTGCTATTAGCAGCAACAAAAAAGGTGTCACATACGCAAATCATAATCTACTCCAAACCCAAACATGTAAAATTATCTCTGTTTTATCTGCATCACTGACACTTGAGGCTGTGGCAGAAAATCGTTGCTGTGAAGTGCCATGGAGTTAGTTTCGACTTTCCGCAACCCTGTATAGGGTTTCTGAAGAGCAGCTGGTGGGTTTGAACCATCAACCTTGTGGTTTGCAGTCCAGTGCTGATCCTACAGCACCACACCATGTAGAAAATTAAGGATCTAGAAATACACAACTTCCATCAAAGGGCAAATACAAAATCGACATATTTAAAAAAACAAGCAAATAAATAAACAAAATCCAAACGGGCTAAAAAAACATTTTCATGAATATAAAAACACCAGAAAATAAAACTCCAGCTGTTTAAGAAGAAACAGCCATGTCTGACCGCAGACATGTCCCTTTCATTCCAAGGGACAGCAAATCTTCCTGGACCAGACTGGATGAAATCCCAGGCCCTTCAAACCCACTTTTCGCCTTTCACGTCTAGGATCTTAGAAATCTTGACCACCAGTCAAAATAGTAAAACCATCAAAATGCTGCCTAGAGCTAAGCCACCAGATACAAGAGTGCTGTAAAAAGCTAAGCTCACTATGTTGTTGTTGTTAAGTGCCGTCAAGTTGGTTCCGACCCATAGTGACCCTGTCTATACAGGTTTCCGAGGAGGGCCGCATATAACCCGCACACAACAGCATAGCACCCAGGAAACTTGCTGAAAGTGGGTGGGGCCTGCCGGGTTTGCCAAAAGCCTAGATTAGGCGTGCTATTTGCGTAAAGATACGGTACAAGTCTCCAAAATGTGCGTGCAGGGTGATTTCAGGTCGTGTGTGCAACTTCCAGCCCCGGAGAGACGCACTTTGGGAGCAGAGTCTGGGTCTGCAATCCAGTGCCTCTCCACACCGGGCAGCTGGCGGGAAGGCCCCATCTGAGCAGATGTGCTGTCCCGACAGGATCCCAACTCCTTTTCCGGTGTGCGTGGGGAAGGTTCCCCTTCCCAACAGCTACAGGGGCTACCCTGAAAGCTGCGCAGGCAGCAAGGCCCCAGTCCCACCCAACGGTCCCGGGCCCGTGCCCACGCTTCAAGGTTGGGCTTTGTGCCCACACCCATTTCTCAATAGGGCCGAAGAGGTGCTGCAAAGCCAGAGACACGGCTTAGGGACCTTCGCTTCCACGTCCAGCTCCCCCACTAGCCCCAGGGTGCCCTGCAGCAACGCCTGGCGATCCCCGCCATGGGAAGTCCTGCTCTGCACCCTGCGCATTCGGGACCGCCCCCTCACCTGATCTTGTAACTGGGCATCGTGTGCTTGCGCTTGATGATCTTCTTGAGCTGGTTGACGATGATGGAGGTCAGCTGGGGCATGGACCGCCCTTCGAACTGCGAGGAAGTCGATCAGCGGGTCCTCCACGAAGGAGAAGAACCAGTGGGTGAAGGGCACGCGCGTGAGCACGAAGCGCAGGCGGCCCACCACGCGCAACAGCTTGACGAAGAGGTAGGCGGACTTGCCGAAGACCAGGTCCACGTCGATGGCCAGGTGGAAGCCGCCGTGGTACTCCACCTCGGCCTCGAAGGCCAACTCCTCGGGCGAGGCGGCGGGCAGCGCCTCGGCGTCGGGGCCGTCGGGCTGGCCGGTGGCCGAGGGCACCACAGGCCGCAGCAGGCGGATGGTCTTGACGAAGGGCACCGCCTCGCCCAGGAAGACATTGCGCAGGCTCAGGCCCTCCAGCAGGCGGCCGGCCGTCTTGGTCTGCAGCAGCTCCTCGAACTCCACCTTGATCTTCTTGGTGACCCAGCGGCGGGCCAGCGCCGTGTCCCGCAGCTCCCGGAAGAGGAAGAGGATGGAGGCGTTGAGGAAGTAGCAGGTCTCCTGCGTCGGCGGCGCGGGGCTTTCAGGGCCCGGAGCCGCGCCGCCCTCGGGCTCCTCAGCCCCGCCGCCGCCATACAGGTACTCCCGCAGGGGCAGGCCCGGCACCGGCTTGAGGTAGCGGAAGCCATCGGCCGCGCGGGCGGCCTCGTCCGGCGGCGGCTTAGGCTGCCTGAGGTAGAGCAGCAGGAACTGGGTGAGGAGCGTGAGCAAGGAACCCACCACGGCCGACGCCAGGATCATGAGCAGCAGCCCCATGCCGCCACCCGGACCGCTGCTCCCGCGCCCACAGCGCCGCGTTGTTCACGCCGCCGCCCCCGCTGCCTCCATCTTGAGGACATCGGGCGCTGGGGTCGCGGCGGGCGAGGCTCCCTGGGCCTCGTCCGGGCTGCTCAGGCCGGCACCGTGCGGAACTTCAGCCTGCTGCGGCCCGCGCCTCCTCGGACGCTCCCAGAGGGGGCTGGTGTGGCGGGGGCGGGAGGGGGCGGGACCGCCGTCTCCCTCCGGCCTCTTCTCATTGGACGAGATGCACGTGACGTTAGGGGCGGGCTCGCTCCCGGCGGCGTCACCTGGCAGCCGGCGCCCGGGCACGCGCACGCGGGTCCTTATTTACCTCCCGGGCGCCCTTCCAGACCCGCCTCCCAACGCCAACGTTCCATTCTCAGACTGCGCGCGCGGTTATCCACGTGGCTGTTACTTTTTGATCCGCGACGTGGACCAGGGAGCTTTAGGAGGGGCAGCGCTCAGATAAGGCTGGGTGCAGTCGGCGTGGAGCATCCTTGAGCAGAGGTGCGTTCTCCCTTGGCGGTGGTCTATCGCGCTCCTCTTTCCCTACAGGATCTGGAGCTGTTCCAAACTCAGGGCAAGCGAGGACTGCCTCGGAGACGTCCATCGCTGGTCTGAAGTGCGACCAGCTGACGCTCAACGTTCTAGGAAGTGGGCAGTGGGATGAAGGAGGAGCAGAGAAAAAAGACGTTAACATGCAGACATCCTTTAACACCCAGGTGGATATTCAAGCTTTAAATGCGGAAGTAAAAGAGCCAGGACCAGGAATGACCAGTGAGATCACTTTGCCATAGGATGATGGAATATGACCGACAGTGGCTCATTGTTAAACTGGAGCCGTGTGCTAATAAGCCCCTGTGTACTATGACGTTTAGTCCGTCTATGAGGCATCCTGGTGTGGCGCTGTAGGATAAGCACTGGATTGTTAACCATAATATTGGCGGTTCAAATTCACCAGCAGCTCCTTGTAAATCCTATATAGGATCGCTATGAGTCAGAGCAGACTCCACGGCACTTAACAACGTGAGACAGTTACTGTTAGCCCTTACCCATTCGACAGGAGGGGCCCTGGTTGTGCAATGACTAAGTACTTGTTGGCTAACCCAAAGGTCAGTGGTTCCAACCCACCATCTACTCTTAGTGAGAAAGACTTGATCAGCTCTGGTTAAGATTTGTTGTTTTTAAGTGTCATCGAGTCAATTCTGACTCAGAAACTTCATACATGAGGGACTGGTAGGTTTCAACTGCCGACTTTGTAGTTAGCACTACACCAGGATTTCTTGGAAGTTCCATGGGATAAATTCTCTGTCCCATAGGGTCGTTATGAGTCTGAATCATCTCAGTTGGTTTTTACTTGTTTTACAGATGTGAACAAACACTGGCATAGAGGAAGTTTGGCTCCTCCAACAATAAACCTTAAGCTCATGATCACTACTCGGTACCATTGGGGGTTGCTAGACAGTTTGAAATGGGGCTTACTGGTTCTCTAGTACACAGGAAAGGAGAGATTGGGAGTGGGAAAAGAAGGATGTTTAGAACAGACTTCAGGAAATTAACCAAAATCATAGTTAATGAAGTCAGGTCACCCTGAACAAGTTACCTCTCACACCTTCTGACTACTTGGTTGCTACATCATAAATGCTAAAGTTTGTCTAACTTATGGATTGCTTTACCGTATAGGTGTCAGATAGCCCATACCTTAAAATCAGATTATTTCTGCCCTCTCTAGTCCTAAAAGGTTTCCAAGCCAGTGATTGTCTTGACTCTTGGTGATTATAGAACAAAAACAGTTCTGCCCCAGCTGGAACACGTGCAGGACCCTAGAACTGGGCCCATCTTACTGGGACCTCATGGCCAACTGTGAAATCAGAATGTCTCCATTGCCCACAAAACTAACACAGGTGTCTTTGAGGAACCAGGCTCCAACCTCACATTCCACACACTGTGGCAATCCAAAACCAGGACACTTCCTGTAATCCTAGTCACCTCTGGCTCCTAGCCTCTGCTTTTGGGCTGCTATCTCAGTATTACACTGTGTCCACTCAAGTGGAGCAAGAGTGTTAGTCCTGTATTTCCACCTCAAAACATAGATACCTCTCATGCACCGTTGCTTGCTGATGCTGATGCATGAGAGGTATGTTACAGAAGTTGGGGGTGGCAGGTAGGCAGAGAATGAAGGAGGAGCTGTTCACATCACTGCATGTGACCCATCCCGGATCTTAAAATATTTTCCAACCCCCTCTGCCCCCACAAGTGAAGCCGTAGTCTCCCACACCATCTAAGAGGCTCCTCCTCCCTCTTCACCTTCCTCCTGTATCCTCCTCAGTCTAGACCAGCTCTAGAAATCCCAAATCTTTTCTACCCATTATAGAGAGATACTCCACTCCCCAGCAAAACTTGCCTGCTGAGCAGTCCCACTCCCAAACCATGAGGGTGCTCAGCAAATGTCTTGTGAAATCTAAAATGATTTCCTCGTGTTAAAATAGCTAAAGTTATTGAACACTTTAATAGTAATATTTATAGAGCATTGATCGTATACCAGGCAGTGTTAAGCACTTTATGTGTCTTATTCCACTTAAAAATAAAAATGTCATGAGTTTTCGTAGTCACATTTATTCAAGATTCAAATTAGAAGGTAAAATGTTCTTGATAACAGTTAGTGTTAGCCCTTTATTTTATGGAACGATGTTGTGTTAATAGAAGTGTAATGTTGTTTATAAAGGCCTTCCCAGGGGAGAATATAAATTGGGCAAACCTATGTATATATTTGGAGTCCTGGTGTGGCGCTGTGGGTTAATGCACCAGACTGCAAAGTCATTTGAACTGCAAGGTCAGTGGTTCAAGCTTACCAGCTGCTCCCTAGAAACCCTATACGGGGCTGCTATGGGTCAGAATCGACTCTGTGGCACTTAACAACAACAACAATGTATATATTTAAAAATATTATGCTGTCCATAGAAAATCAAAAGTCTGAACCTCTGGTCTCAACTCTGAAAACCTATGATTCTGAGTAGATTTCTGGAAGAAGAAGTTGCCTGCCTGCTGACTTTTTAATGTGCTTTAAATGACATCATTGAAATTCAGCTCTCCCAACAGACTTCATGGAAGTATCCATTTCAAGGGTCAAGGTTGTTGGATACTGGCAATGGGTTGTGGGTAAGACTAGTCTCACCAACTAGAAAGAAGTATGGATCACTTGTGAGGCTACTCTCTGAATCCTTCTAGATGAGAAAGCCCCCACATGTGTATGCACAGAGGGTGAGAGTATAATGAACATCAATTTGATACAAATGTTATCAAATAATACAAGTACCACATAACAAGGAGAAAAGCATTGGGAAGATTAGAATGTTGGCCTAACAGATGACCTATCAAATCATTGTATGAAGTGGCAAGATTCAAATTCAACAACTATGTCTAAGTATCTCTCATGGGCCAGGCTCAGGGGATACTGAATGAATAGGAGAGTCCCTGCCCTCAAAAGTGACCAGTCCAGGTAGAATCAGACACCTCTACAGAACTCTGAGGATGAAAGTGCTCTCCAGAGGCACTCCTGTGAAATGGACAGAATCTCTGGTTCAAGGGCAGGGATGTTTGGTTGCAAGAATCAGAAACTGCCCTGGGCTAGTTTAAGTGAAATTGGATTCACATGAAGGATACTGGGCATCTCCAGGAATGGCTCAGGGGCAAGATGTTCATGTAGGACTCTCGCAGACACTGGGGACTGAGAGAGCAGTTTCTCCCTCCCTCCACCCTGCCTTCTTTCCTGGCCCCCACGTCTCTCTCTTACCTTTTCATCCCCCACTTCTGCTGGTCTGTGCTTATTCCTGTTCCTCCCACAGGCTCAGCACATAGTATGCAGGCAGCTTGGGAAGGGAAAGTGCCACACACAAATCTAGAGCTTCTCACCTTGGCCAGTTTGCTTCATTTCAAGTGCTGGGAGAGAACTCCTAATGGGCTTCACCATAGTCCAATCATGCAGCCCCCCTTCCCTCTGCCAGGGAGTGGGTCACAGGGAAGAAGAAGAATGCTTTGCCCCTTTCGGGTTGCTGGTAGGTGGGTTGAATTCTTCAAGGAGGGAGAGGGAATCTAGAAGACATGATGGGTGCTCTAGATAATAGGGACTAGAGAGTAATCCTGGGGCTGGAGAACACAGGAGACTTCTTAGAGCAAATTTGCCTAGGCCTCTGATGGTGACAAGGGTGCTGTAATCAGACGAAGAACTAAAACAAATGTGTTGCCATCAAGTCGATTCCAACTCATTGTGAGCCTGTAGGGTGGAGTAGAATTGATTAGGGGTCCAAGGCTATACACCTTCATGGAAATAGATTACCACGTCTTCCTTCCATGGAACACCTGGTAGGTTCAAGCTGCCAACCTTACTGCTACCAGGGCTTCCTGATCTGATCAGAAGGAGGCAAAGTCCCAGAAGCTGAAAATACAACAGGGTTTGGGAAATTGAGGAAATGAAGAAATTGAGGGTGGTGTGAATAGGGTTGGTGCAAGGAGGAGAGATGGGACAAGAGGGGAAGAGAGTAAAGCAGAGGGTTTCAATGTCAGGGCAAGTTTGGATTCTCTTTTGTTGCTAAGTGCCATCAAGTCAGTTCTGACTCATAGCAAACCTGTATGTGTTTCTGAGGAGCAGGTGATGAGCTTGACCTTACAGTTCAAACCAACCTTGCAGTCCAGTGCATTAACCCACAGCGCCACCAAGTCTCCAAAGGTTTTGTTTTGTTTTTTCCTCCAGAAGGTTTTTAAGCAAGAGTCTGACATTATCCCCTTTTATTTGATCATTTCCATCAGCAAAACTTCAACCTTAGATAAATCCAACTCCTTTCTCCCCCCTGAATCTAAAGAACTTCATGGTTTTTGTTGTCATTTGGGCCCCCAAGTGACCCAGACATGTTTCTCCATCACCCTAGCAAGCATCTCCCATTTCCTGAAACAGTGCCATCAAACCTTTACCAGTCTCA